TCCCTGCCTGCAGAGTGTTAATAAGCTCCTGGCCCACCCCTGCGCAGCCCACTGCCCTGCACCGTGCACCCCGAGCCGCCGCCAGCCGAGTGTGTCAGGGTGCTAATGAGGAGAGAGCCGTGCCTTGCACTTAATTGCTGCTGTCTTTTGGCTCTTAATGAAGCTCTGCTGCAGGAGAGGCATCAGCCTCCCTTGCCCTCCTCTCCCTCGGGCAGCCTGACCCCACCAGCCTCCCCCTGCCAGCCCTGCCCCCTGCCTGACGCCAGCCTGGCCCTGGGTCCACGGGTGGCGCTGGGTGGGTGCCGTGCGCTGGAGCTGGGATGCTGGAGGGACGCAGCAGCAGAGGAGGAGGTTAGCACCATGCTGAATGTCACCCCTGTCCAGTTGTGGCATTCCCAAACCCCCCAAACCCTGGCCCCTCTCTCCGTCCTCTGCATGGCAGCTCGGTCCCAGCCACGGAGGGCTGCAGCATCTCCTGCCCCCCGGGCTGAGCAGACCCAGGGAGCGCTGGCAGCGAGGGGGCAGGGCTATATAGGGTGTCCCCAACAATGCAAGGGGGCCCAGCAGCGGGTGGGCATTGCCCCAACAAGCCCTGCTTGGGGGTTGCCACCCCCTCCAGGTGAGCGAGTGCAAGGCGGCAAGCTCGGTCCCAGCCACGGAGGGCTGCAGCATCTCCTGCCCCCCGGGCTGAGCAGACCCAGGGAGCGCTGGCAGCGAGGGAGCAGGGCTATATAGGGTGTCCCCAACAATGCAAGGGGGCCCAGCAGCGGGTGGGCATTGCCCCAACAAGCCCTGCTTGGGGGTTGCCACCCCCTCCAGGTGAGCGAGTGCAAGGCGGCACCGTGGGGCTGAGCTGGCCGGTGGCACCGGCTCTGCAAACCTGTTGGTGGCCGTGGGCTCTGTCCCCTGCCGCTTGCACTGTGGCTCAGCCGTGCGGAGGGGAGCTCGGGTCAACCTGTGTCTCAAGGGAGAGGGGTTGGGGGGCTCGGAGAGAGCTCTCCCTGCCAGGCAGGCTGGCCCA